GGTTTCCAAGCCAATTCGCGATTGATCCGAGAATGAGAAACCTTCCTGAGTAGACTCGGGGTTGCTAAACAACTAGTGGCACGTAAATTAGCCCACAAGGGGGAAGAATTGCAATTTTCAACCGCATCTCTCATGTCCATAATCCAATTTCCGCTGTCATTGTTGGGGGTTTGGGTGTGAAGCTGAAACTTTTGCCCACATCATGCTCTCATGTCTCTTGGCTCTCGTTTTTGAGAGCCCAGTGACCCGTTGTGCCTCGGTTATTCAATTTTCCCTCACGGCTTGATCACCAAAATCCTCTCGCGAGGATGACATGCTTGGGGTCGAGGTGTCGTGGTTTTTGTGGCGATTGTTATGACTGTCGCTTCCCTAGGACATTTTAAAATCTTTGATGACCCACATGAATGGCAGGATGTTGACTGTCGCTATTTCAGCTATTTCGGGGTTCATGAAGGTACCAGAACTTTGACCCAGAGCCAGGCTGACCAAGCCCTTTTAAGCTGTTCAAGCCATTTGGGTCGCCACTAGCACAGAGTCTTCCTATCACTTTCAGTGATGCCTGAAAAGACATCGAAAGCAAAGCAAGACCAAGTTCTTACCGTGCCTTTGGAACGGCCAAGATCCTAAACCCCGTCGGCCAAGACATCTTCAGACAATCCCCTGTCTCATGTCTGCGAATAGATCAGTGGAGTGATGTGAGCATTGGATATGAAGTCATCCTCCCTCCGACAAGCTATATTCAAGAGAAGCTCCGTGTCAAGCAATCCTGGGCCCAGCCCAAAACGATGAGAGTGATGAATTTGCATGTTCAGTTTGCAAACCTTCAAGCGTGCACTTCACCAGTTGCAGCCTTGGCAAAGCCATGTAGTCGCCCCAGCCTAGACTCTCTTTGCAGTTCCGCGCCACATGGAGCTGCAAAAGTCGCGGCCGTGAAAATAAGCATGTCGACCCAGGGAACATTGGCATTTTTTCTCGGTGGGCAACCCTTCCAAGTTGGCATTGAGATCTCAAAGCAAAACCAGCTGCTTTGTGGTTTCCAACAGACGTCCATCCAGACATCTGGGGCATTTTTGTTTGGGCTGAGGAAGGAGCACTGGAAGATGTGCGATGGCCAAGCCGCGGATTCCCCAACGAATCCCTTCCACTGCATGGCTTGATTTCGTGTCGAGATCCACGGCGCTAAGATACATCCAGACATGAAATGCAGCTCTTTCGAGACACCTGTTTGGCACCAACTTCAGAAACTGGTGGCTTTAGATTTTCACACCAGTGATTTGACACTCCAGTGGATTTTAGCCAGAAATGATATAATGGAGGTGACTGCGCGGAGACCGTTGGCTGGGCCAAAGGCATGTGTCATGCACATTTGTAGGTTCAACTTGCAGCAGAGCAGGGCCGTTCCAAGAAGTTTAGGGAAGACATGTGACACAAAAAAGACGGCGCTGTGAATGTCAAGATGAGCCACAAAAAGCCTAGCCGATGGCTAGCACAATACAGGACATCAATGCGATTGTTTCGTTTCATTTGCACACAGAGTATTTTGGGGTTCTCGATTTTGAGGCCATCCCATATCTCAAAAATATCGCATTTGTTTGAGCGCAAGTTTCCCATAAGTATGCCGTATACTTCGTGGGGCGACATGATCCATCTGCCCCCCTTTCCGCGATCTCCGTGAGCCTTTGTTTTGACCGTGCACCTGGAAATATTATGAAATATCTATATGGCTGAGCATACTCAGTGAAGCCCACAGTCCAGTGCACCGCAGTACGTGAGGGAACAACACTAGAAACCAAGGCCCAACATGTTCGTAGAATCGCTGCTCCACGTTTCTTAGTTGTCTGGGGGGTCACTGGTGACCATGGTGGGTTGTTTTTGGATGTTGGCCGCTGGATGCTGCATAGTCATGGGCTGCCGATATCATCTAAAATCTAGACCAGGTGCTGGGCCCAGGCAACAGAGTTTCCATTGGAACAGAAGGAATGGATTAGAAACGACGCAGCAGTCCCAAAGAATTGCAATGGTTCCCGCAGACTCCCACGGAGCAAAGCACCGTTCCAGTTTTGCGCACGTCTTTTTTTGATAAGACTGTAGATTTGTCCGCCGCTCAAAACCTGCAAGGCAGCTTGAGCCGGCTGGATGCATGAGACCATTGTTGCATCTCAAGCTAATGATCTATCACTTGAAGTGAGTGCCGTTTCTTGGGGTGCCGGGATATAGAGAAGAGTGTAGCGAGCGCAAGGCTATGGCGTTGAAATGCGGCCTCGGGCTCTGGCCTTGAAGCGAGGTGTGAAATATCACAACTCGGCGTGAAGAAGGGCTTGTGGAAGCGCTTTGAGAGGCAGGTTTGGCAGAGACACGGCCGAATCTTAGTCAACATACTCTTTTTTATCTCTTTTCCTTATCAAGGTAACACGAGAAGAAGGCAATCCACTCCTTACACCCCTTTCGCAGAAGTGAGAACTGTGGCCACGGAAGTAGTGCGTTACAAGCCTTTAAGAAAAACTCACTGCAGTATGAAGGAATATAAGGCCCAAGTTGTGGCCACATCTCATGTAAGATTTCGTAGTTGGGGTCGGCGATACACGTTAACACTGCCTGGGATGATGTGAAGGCGAAAAGAAGTTCCTTTAACTGGCCCAGAGGATGATTCACCTTTGTCCCTGAAAAAAATAATTGTTGCTGGAACAGATGAGCAAGAGGCTGCCCTGCATCTCCAGAACCGATAGGGGGCGACTCAGCACCTATATATACCAGTGTTCCGTGGGCAAAGCGTTTGGCGAAGGCAGCGTGGCATGTCTAGGTGCCAGGCACCTTGAAAGAAAAACTCTCAACTCTCAAGCCCCAACAGCGGCGATCCGACAGCCCAAGTTCATGTCCATAGGTCACAGGCATCTTGAAAAATCACACTCAAGTGCCAGCGCGTCTACGTTAGGCTGTGGTTTTTGGATGGATGCTGGAGCCCCTGCAGGAGTGGGTCCATTTTCGCTTTAAAGGATGTCGGACAGGATACAGTTTGATTCACATGTCGCACAATGGGCTTTGCTAAATCCCAGTGGCAAGTGGCTGGCTGGAGGGACATTTCGTTGTGAATCAGCTGGGGCCGGCACAAGCGAGATTGAGGGTCAGGTTGGTGGCTTGACGCCGCAGCATCACAAAAACCAATGCAATCTGAATGCTTGTCAAAGGTCTCTGAGCATGTTTTATGACTCAGATTTGAAGATAAAACTGAGGCATATTCATTCTGAGGAATCTGAAGACGGTGGATAAATATGGCAGACTTGCAAGCTTGGGGCCATATTGAAAACATGGAAAGGTGTCGGTTGCCCCAACATGTTTCGATTTGGTGCCCCATCATGGAACTTGGAAATTGAACATGCGGCCTACCATTCCGAAACTTGTATGTTAGAACTCGGTCTCAATGCACGTAGTCTGGCGCATTCCCTCCGCTTTTGAAGTGACTTGGGCCTTTCAGTTCAAGCATTGCTCCAACGTGCCGTGAGGCTTTTGCTCGATGCCCCAGGTTCATGTTAACGCGCAAAGTTTGTTTTCAAGATTCCTCGAAGTTCATTGCCAGGGAACGAGAACTGCATTCATCGCATTTTCCAAAGATCCGGGCGAAATTTTACCGCACCGCTGCAGATATGCCGCTGTCTTCATCATCACTCGTGGCAGTGTGAGCAGATCTCGGACTTGGGCGAGGATTGGCTGTGTCCAAACATCGGGCACCGCTAAAATCCTGTGGTTTGTATATGTTTATCGTAGCTTATCAACATTTTCCACACACATCCAAAATAAGATGGCCATAAAGTGGGGTACCCCATCCCCCCTGCCGAAGCAACGCCCGGCTGCGCGGCTGCGCGGCCAAGCAATGACGCACGATGAGGAGCTTGGGTAACTCGTCACTGCGAGGGAGCCATGGTAGGCAACTGGCTGGGTGGGGTGGAAAGAATCCAAGGTTGAACCACGTTGAACAAAATGACATAATCATAACATGGTTATTTGAAGGATTTGCTCGTTTTTTGTTTTGGCTTTGTTTCAAGGGGAAGGTGCAGCGACTGGGCTGGTTTCATGCCGATATTTGGGAGGCCTTGACTTTTTGGACCGAGCACTGTCACCGTCGCGAAGAGTCTTTCATTTGCGTTGCCAGCATCCAAATTGAGCAGTATCTACCGAAACTTGATATCCAATGTCCTTCTTTATAACTTGATGCTGCTGTTCTTTTTCAGCAGCATCGAATCCGATTTTTTTTTGGGACTTCTCGTGCTTCTGCCAAGGCTGATTTCAAAGCCCAGTGGAACTTGGGACCTCTGGAGCTTCTGTGCCAAAGCATGAAAGGTTCCATGTGCCCGTGCTGTTGGGGGAACTGTTGGGGATTTGGAGAGATTAAAATCGTTGGAGCCAATCTTGTTGGCATATGTTGGAAATTTTAACTACGAACTATATAAAATATGAACTATTCTATGATATAGCGATACCCACCCCTGCCCCAAATTGAACGCACCTTGAGAATCTGTCGGATCCAAAAGCAGCAAAGGGGCAGGTATTTCATTGAATTGAGAAGGGTTTGACAGTTCGTTCACAATTCTTTCACACCTTTTTTCCCCACATCACTCTATGGGGTTCAAACTTTTTGTTCGACATCCGCCCGTCGCCGTCCGCCAACCGCCTCCCGCCGTCCGCTTGTCTCTTGTCTCTACCAACTTGTCTCTATCAACTTGTCTGTATCAACGTGTCTCTATCAATTTGTCTCTATCATCTTGTATGTATCAACTTGTCTCTATCAACTTGTCTCTATCTGAAAATGTCATGCAATCCATGTCAACCAGCTGATACCGTTTGCACCTTGTGGCTTGGCTTAAGGGGCCCTGAGAGCGTTGTTACCTTTTCGCATTGTGACCGATGGATGGGTGAAACATTGCAGCATTGAGTCCGTGCATTTGCCATTGCACTTTGTGTGTTTCATCTGACTCCGATTAGCTGGCAGCGGAGCTTGCGTTGTCATGTTCTTCGACGACAACGGCGACCTGGTCGTTGATCAGTCAGATCATGCTCCTTGGCATTTCGACGTTGAACATGACTCGATCCAGGACGATACCTTGTCAGATTCACCAACGAATTCTGTTCAGTGGCGTTGCTTGGTTTGTGATTCAGCGGCTTATGCTTGGTTGAGCAACAGTTGGGTTTGCAATCAATGTGGGTCAAACAAGTTTTATCAGACGAATAATCCTGCAACACGTGAAACAGCTGATGGTGTTTGGACATACATGCCATATGGTTCCCATGTTCCTCCTCCACCTGACGGTCATCAAGCGTCCACCTCTGCCAACCGTCGACGACGACGACGAAAGCATGGAGACTCTGGACCTGGACCGGGCGGTGATGCTTGGAGTGAGCGCGGCGAGGAAGAGACTCCAACGGAAGATCCGTCTGTGATCCCATCATGGCATTCTGACCACCATGGATCAGTTGACCGAGTTGCAAGGACATCACCAACGACTGTGACCAATCAACGGCATGCCCGCAAGATCTCATCATCTGCTGATGACGACTCCACCATCAAGAAGTTGAAGGAAGTCTTGAACAAGGATGACAATGATGAGCCTTGGGATGACAGAAAAGGTCCCTCTAAGGGCATCCGTTGGCGCGGCGGCACTGCACCGTCCCCGCCTCAGTGGAAATATGATGCTACAGACTTGCGTGCATACAATAAGTTCTGCAAGAAGGTTGAAATCTGGATGCTACAGGTTGCACCTTACCTGAGCAAGCGTGAAGCAGCACTCAGCTTGTACAATGCGTTGCAGGGCGAGGCTGAGCAAGAGCTTGAGCACACCCCTGTCAGTGAGATTTACACTGACGATGGTGTTCAGGTGATTCTGCAAGCCTTGAAGGCACCAATGGAGCAGAAGGCCATCTATCAGAAACGTCGCTACCTCAATGACTTTGAGCACATCCGACGATACCAAGGAGAGACTATGCGCTCCTTTGTGAATCGGTTTCGCCGAGTGCAGCGCAGTTTGCGTTCAGTCGGCATCAACATTGAGGCAGCCTATGACAATGAGAGCATGGGTTCACGACTCTTGGATCGCAGTGGCTTGACACATGAGCAGCAGCGTATGATTTTGGTTGCAACATCACAGTCTTTGCTGTTTGAATCTGTGGCTGAAGCACTGACATTGCAGTTTCCAGAGTTTCGTGGCGCTCCTCCAATTTCTGGTGGAAAAGATGGTCAGGGAAAAGGCAAGAACAAGTCTATGGGTAGCACTTCATCATCCAGTATGCCATCCTCATCGACCTCCTCTACTGCCTCCTCTCGGCAGAGCTCTGTTTCGAGCGTGCGTGGAGCTCCAACACGTAGAGCCTTCGTTGCAGCTCACGATGCTGGAGATGATCAACAAGAAGATGATGAGTTCCTCGACACCATTGAGGAAGAATTCGAAGATGATCAGAATGAGCCCGATGACGATCAAGATGATTGTGAAGAAGATGATGGATTTGAAGATGACGGTGAAGGCGCGAATGACCTTCAAGAGCTGGCATCCGTCTTGACTGTGACGGCAAAGAAGTTGAACAACTTGACCCTTGGTCGAAAGTTCTTTACTGCAAAGCAGAAGGGCAACTCCAAGGGCAAAGGTGGCTCGACCAGACTGACTCCTGAGGAGTCCAAGAAGGTCACTCACTGCACTGCTTGTGGAGCTCGTGGACATTAGTACAAAGACCAAGAATGTCCGATGAACAAGGGCAAAGGATCCTCTTCGTCGCCAAAGCCGATCGAGAAAAAGGGTCCGCAGCCAGCCTTCAAGAAGCCCCACAGTGTCAACTTCATCCACCATGAGCATGGCGTTGTCGATGTGTATGACAACCCTTCCTACGGCCAGTCATTTGACGTCAACATGGTTTTGGTTCCATCAACTTGTCTCTATCAACTTGTCTCTATCAACTTGTCTCTATCAACTTGTCTGTATCAACGTGTCTCTATCAATTTGTCTCTATCATCTTGTCTGTATCAACTTGTCTCTATCAACTTGTCTCTATCAACTTGTCTCTATCAACTTGTCTCTATCAACTTGTCTCTATCAACTTGTCTCTATCAACTTGTCCCTGTCAACTTGTCCCTATGAACTTGTCTTTATCAACATGTCTCGATCAACTTGTCTCTATCAACTTGTCTGTATCAACGTGTCTCTATCAACTTGTCTCTATCAACTTGTCTCTATCAACTTGTCTGTATCAACGTGTCTCTATCAATTTGTCTTTATCATCTTGTATGTATCAACTTGTCTCTATCAACTTGTCTTTGTCAACATGTCTCGATCAACTTGTCTCTATCAACTTCTCTGTATCAACGTGTCTCTATCAATTTGTCTCTATCATCTTGTCTGTATCAACTTGTCTCTATCAACTTGTCTCTATCAACTTGTCTCTATCAACTTGTCTCTATCAACTTGTCTCTATCAACTTGTCTCTATCAACTTGTCCCTGTCAACTTGTCCCTATGAACTTGTCTTTATCAACATGTGTCGATCAACTTGTCTCTATCAACTTGTCTCTATCAACTTGTCTCTATCAACTTGTCCCTGTCAACTTGTCCCTATGAACTTGTCTTTTTCAACATGCCTCGATCAACTTGTCTCTATCAACATGTCTCTACCAACTTGTCTCTATCAACTTGTCTGTATCAACGTGTCTCTATCAACTTGTCTCTATCAACTTGTCTCTATCAACTTGTCTCTATCAACTTGTCCCTGTCAACTTGTCCCTATGAACTTGTCTTTATCAACATGTCTCGATCAACTTGTCTCTATCAACTTGTCTGTATCAACGTGTCTCTATCAACTTGTCTCTATCAACTTGTCTCTATCAACTTGTCTCTATCAACTTGTCCCTGTCAACTTGTCCCTATGAACTTGTCTTTGTCAACTTGTCCCTATGAACTTGTCTTTGTCAACATGTCTCGATCAACTTGTCTCTATCAACTTTCAACTTGTCTGTATGAACGTGTCTCTATCAACATGTGGCAGGCGCGGCACTTGGTGACGCGGCTCTGGACGCTGGACGCCGCGGCTCCGGACGCCAGCGGAGATCCCCCCAAGCTATTTCCAAGCTATTTCCAAGCTATTTCCACGCTTTCCACTCCGTCTGCGCTCGTGCCTTTCTTCCTTGCTCGTCCGGCTCTTCCGTCTCGCTCCCCTCGCGGCAAATAACCTAAACGAGAACCCAAGCATCGGAGATGCTTTTCGGGAAAAAGGTGATTTTTTTGAAGGCTCCTCAGGGGGTTTGACGATGGGTCCTTGTATACATGTTACAAGTAGAGCCCGGACAAGCCGGGTGACGGAAGTTTCGAGAGGAGAAAACCTACAAAGAAAAGGGAGAGCCTATAGGAACGGCCCCTGCATGACCGCCTGGCTGGCACGGCCGTCGGCTGCGTGATCTCTTGGAAGTCTTGGTCCTTGACATTTTTTGCTCTCGACATCTTTGCCTGATGCTGCCACTGTCTCTTGATCTGGCTTGCGCTTGTCATCTTTGAATCTTGACAGATCTCCCGGTTGCTTGCTGTTTGTCTGGACGTCTTTTTTCTCCCTGATATTTCTCTCTTTTTCAACTTCCTTTTCTGATGGTGCCACTTTAACTTTCTCTCCATCCGGTTTGCGCTTGTCATCTCTGAATCTTCACAGCCCCTCTCTTGCTGACAGCCCAGGAGCCTGGGACCTGACACACTCTGCTCTCCTGACAAATTTCTTTCCCTACTCTTTTCACCCCCCTACCCTCTTCACTCTTCACTGCTTTTTCCCTTCTGTTTCCTACTTTCTTCAGTTCCCTACTCTCACTTCTCGACTCTCTTCAACTATCTAACCTTCATCACACCTGAACTATATTGTTTTCACCTCTCTAGCGCCTTCGCATCTCCACTACACTGACACAGCTTGCACAAAGTACTTCCCAGTACTACTTCCTTCTGCAAAGCTTACACGTCACCAAACACAATGGCACAGCGCATGGAATCTTTCAAAGATCACCTCCGCCCAGTGCTGACGGTGGGGGCCACTCGAGCGCAGAACGAACGCAAACCGCACCCGTCGCACAAACGAGGTTCCCCCCATCGACACCGAGCCCCTTTAAAATCATGCGAGAAAACACAAGGTTTCATGCGATTTCCAACCTTCAAACATCACCTGGACAAAGCGTTCGAAGCAGCCATTCCAATGCAAAATGCAAGCCTGGATCACCAAACACAATGTCACAGCGCGTGCAATCTTTCAAAGATCACCTCCGCAGCGCTGACAATGGGGACGGCTCGAGCGCAGAACGCACGCAAACCGCCCCGCCGCACAAACGAGGTTCCTCCCATCGACGCCGGGAGCCACTTTATGCGAGAAAACACAAGGTTTCGTGCGATTTCCAACCCCCAAACATCACCTGGACAAAGCGCTCCGTCCGGCAGCCGGGGAGCGTGAAAAACATATGGGCAGGCGATCGCAATGCGCCAACGCGATCACCAGAGATAACGGTACTTGGCTCCCATTTGGGTTTGGGCCAAATCCTAACGAAATCAATGCGACCGGGAATTTGAACATTGACAGCACTTGGTCAACCAGTGATTTTGGTCTGAAACTTGTAGAGCGTTTTTGATGGTTTTAGTCCAAGAAGTAGGTACCCCCATGTGGACATTTTGATGGGACACGTGTTTTCTTGCAAAAAAAATGATTTCAGTGGTCCTCCACGGTTTTTTCCAGTTGATCAATGGGAATTTCAGGATCCTAAAATGGAGGTACTGTATCATATAAGGCCATATTTGGTGGAGATATTCCCTTACATAGGCCTTATATAGGCTTTGTATATGGTAGGTACCTCCAATTTAGGTTCCTGAAATGACCATTGAATTGGTTTCGCGAGGCCACCGCCAGATTCACAGCGGCCGAGCGCGCCCAAAAAATTCGGGTCCTTCCTTTGATGGGCAGCGATTGGCAGGAGGTTTCAAGTTCCCTGAGAATCACCTAGCTCTGTTGACTTTCAGAGATTTTCGGGAATTCCAAAAACATGGTGGCGGCGCCTGTAAGAGGCCCGCAGGGTTGAACGTCTTCATCATGTTCTTTTCCATCATTGAAAATTACCATTTTTTCCATGTTTCCATTTGGAACATATAAAATTCGAATTCGTTTTCGTGCCGTAAGGGTCGTGATTTCTGCGCCATTTTAGACATTTCGCTAGCACGAAATGCAATTTTTTAAGTTGAGGCCCCCAAAAAAGTTGCAATGGTGTGAATTTATTGCAAATAGCAGTGAATTTGGTGTTTCTTGCAACCACACGTTTTCATTCCAGCCTGCAGCGAAGTTCTTTTTCATCTTCACACAGCATGGTGACTCTGCATTTTTTGCAGAGCATAGTTTGCCAAGCTGTGTCAGAAGGTCCTTACCTTCATGGTGATGTCTCCACCACCGTAGTGTATGTTAACATAGAAGGAAGACATGAGAGCGTACTGTATGTCGAGGTGAAGTATGTTGACGTAGTGCATGTTAACATAGAAGGAAGACATGAGAGCGTACTGTATGTTGAGGTGATGTCTCCACCACCGTACTCTAAGATGTTAAAGTTGAACGAATGAACCAGTATGAGCGTATTAGGTGCGCAGGTGAATTTGCTAAAGTTGGCCGAAATCGCGTCCTGCTTGTGTTTTGTGAGTTAGTTTATTCACTTTGTTGAATTTCTCATGGGTTTGGCACTGATTGTAATTTAGACTGACTTCGCAGTTAGGTTGGTTTTCATTGTCCCCACGATGCGATGATGTTTAGATTCATTTCTAACACAGGTGCAACTCCTCACTCTTGACCCACTACTCACTCACTTCTTCTCCTCACCTCCACTTCTCAAATCCCTGGGCTAGTGCCCACTGGCTATAGCCAGCTAAGAATTTAAGCCAAGCAAATCTTGAAGCCTCCATTAGTTGCAAATCTGCCGATTCTAAGCAACCCGAAGTCCCGAAAGGACTGGGGTCTGGGTTTTGACATCCCCCGACGTCGTTCGATACGTCGTTCGGACGTCGTTCGGACGTCGTTCGAAACCGCTTCCAGCATTAAAAAAACTAATGTTTTCAGCTCACAAATCCAATCGCGAACAGCGAAACCGCTTGTGGAACCCGATGGTGGAAGAAGTTTTGGTTATATAATGATATCATGTAGATTTGGTTCGTCATCAGCGTCCCAATATGTTTTTGATATTTGTGTAACAACTTAGTACCATTTTAATATGTTTTGAGATGTGCGTCCACAATGTGTTTCCAAATTTTGAACACAACAGAACCTGAAAAGATAAAGCTTATCAGTCACCGGCGTCCCATGGGGATTTAGTTTGTTTTTGGTCAACCTGTTCAACTTCCTGATCCAACGGCGTCTCAATGGGTTTTAACACGTTCCCGTGAAATTGGTCAACTTTAACGTTCCGGGGTAGTGTATGTTAACATAGAAGGAAAACATGAGAGCGTACTGTATGTCGAGGTGAAGTATGTTGACGTAGTGTATGTTAACATAGAAGGAAGACATGAGAGCGTACTGTATGTTGAGGTCAAGTATGTTGACGTAGTGTATGTTAACATGAGACATGCATTACCACGTACAGACAGAGGCCGACAGGACGTTATTGCCCCCCCCACCACCCCATGTTTTATCACAACATGAAAGACATTGTAAAAGCATAACCGCTAGGGTGTGCATTTTTAACAACAGCGCAGGCCCCTTACAGGCGCCGGCACCTAAACATACGGCAAGAACGTTGCCCGCGAAAGACAACAATGGAATTGAAGACGCATTTGGGACCCCAGTCAGTCATCCCAAACTTGTTTCACCCTGGATTATTGAGGATCCCGACGTTGGATATGTTTGCTGGGTTAAAACAATTCATGTTTGCAGGGCTCAGGCTCCAGTTATATTTCCACATTTGAATGTGGGTAAAATGTCACTGCTGGCTAGCATCTTTGTGTGATTCAGAGTCTTGGGTATGGTTGTGATTGTCGGTGAGATGGTTCCCGCCTCGGATGTTTAAGCTTTTGGGGTTCGAACATGTCTCGACCCATCAAAGCATCATCAGGGTTTGCGGGCTTGAGGCTGGCATTGGGGGAACACGAGAGGCATCAAGCAGCTAAGAGTTTTGCATTTTCCCTGATTGTTTTACAGGTTTTCGGTTCAAATCGTGTTGCGTCTTTTCTGCACGCAGCTCATGGCGATGACCCGACTTCAAATGCAGCGTTGCTTGCCTTGTGCTGGGTGACCGCCCAAATCCTCGAAAGTTCGTTGTCTCTAGCGGCTTATTCTTGCAGCATGCTGGGAGAGGAAATCGCTGGCATGCTCAGTCCTCGTGGAAATGAGGCGGGTCAGACCGAAGCCCTTGAAAGGCACAACCATGGACCATTGCAACTGCTTGGTGAGGCTGGGTCTGGGCATTCAATCGGCCACCTGCATTTGTCGCGGCACCTGTTTATAAAGTCTTGAGATGCACTTGGGGGGGGGGTGGCTGACAAGTCTGACACTTTTGCAGATTCTGTGGCTAAACCAATGAAACCCAACAGCTGTGAATTTACTGGCAAGCCTGGGATTTGGTTGAAGTGAAATCGGACAGTCTCCTGGAAAGCAGGTGGAAAGGAGATTGCTGTGCAACCATCTTGACACTGCTTGATTGCAAGGGCTTGCGTCTCAGCCAATTTCTGAGCGGGAAGCCTTGACTCAGGGCCCGCACAATTCGTGTTTAAGCTGCCAGAGATGCAGTTGAAGAAGGAAGTGTTTGATGAGGGCGCGAGTGGCCACAACTTGGCCTGCCTTGTGACGTGTTGCAGAAAAAGTTCTGTAGTTGATTGTATTGTGGGCATAACTTCCTTACAACGGGCTGTAAACACATGACGTGTGAGTCTGTCTAACCTGAAGTCATGCCAGGCTAATAGTATCAACTTATCAACTGGGGTCCTCACTTGTTTCTGCGAATGACGTGTTGAGATGCCTTGGGGAACAGAGAGATTCGGCAGATTTGTAGACATGATTGCACCAGGGCTCCGCAGATAGGTTTGAGGTGGCGCAAGGGAGCAAAGATTGATGTGGCAAGGCTTAGGAAAGACCAGCACAAGGCCCCGATTTTTGTTCAGTCTCCTTGCTTGTGAAGATGGCAAAATGTTCAGACTCTGTTTGCAGGTTTGGGGATTTGTTGGCTGGGAGCTGGGAAAATGTCCAGGAAAATAGAGGGAATGCAGACTTTCTCTGCGCGGAGTTTGACACTGCAAAATTCCACGCGCTTGCGTCTCATGTCATGAGCGGGACACTCTGATTCAACGCCTGATTGCTTTGGATTGGAAGGAATCGGAGACACAGTCGAAGAACTAGTTATTTGAGGAGGCAGCCTTGATGTTTCCAACTTGCATTCCAGGGCTGTTCAAACTGAAACCATGTTTTGGTTCCTGAAACAAGGTGAATTTCCAAGTCCATTATTTGGAAACAAAGACAGGCTCAGATGAGCGCATCATATGTGGAGTGGTGGCCTTTGTTGGGGTCCGTCGGCCAACAAGTGACGTTTGAGCGTCTATAGACAGCTAAGCCAGAATCAATCCCTGTGGGCACCATTACTGTAGCAGGAAACACTGCACATCCCAATGCATCGGATATGGCTTTCATTGCCAGTACAGCAATGAACGCTACATGGCCTTTGGCCTTTGGCGTTTTGGATGCCTTTCCCTTCTCCCGTCTCAAAAGTCAATGCCAGTCACTTTCAGGTTCCTGGTGAAAGTGACGAGCGTCAGTTCCAATCTCAGGGAAGAATCGGAGTGAAATTAGAGATGAATGAGTGCAACCATCTTGACACTGCTTGATTGCAAGGGCTTGCGTCTCAGCCAATTTCTGAGCGGGAAGCCTTGACTCAGGGCCCGCACAATTCGTGTTTAAGCTGCCAGAGATGCAGTTGAAGAAGGAAGTGTTTGATGAGGGCGCGAGTGGCCACACCTTGGCCTGCCTTGTGACGTGTTGCAGAAAAAGTTCTGTAGTTGATTGTATTGTGGGCATAGCTTCCTTACAACGGGCTGTAAACACATGACGTGTGAGTCTGTCTAACCTGAAGTCATGCCAGGCTAATAGTATCACCTTATCAACTGGGGTCCCCACTTGTTTCTGCGCGTGACGTGTTGAGATGCCTTGGGGAACAGAGAGATTCGGCAGATGTGTAGACATGATTGCACCAGGGCTCCGCAGATAGGTTTGAGGTGGCGCAAGGGAGCAAAGATTGATGTGGCAAGGCTTAGGAAAGACCAGCACAAGGCCCCGATTTTTGTTCAGTCTCCTTGCTTGTGAAGATGGCAAAATGTTCAGACTCTGTTTGCAGGTTTGGGGATTTGTTGGCTGGGAGCTGGGAAAATGTCCAGGAAAATAGAGGGAATGCAGACTTTCTCTGCGCGGAGTTTGACACTGCAAAATTCCACGCGCTTGCGTCTCATGTCATGAGCGGGACACCCTGATTCAGCGCCTGATTGCTTTGGATTGGAAGGAATCGGAGACACAGTCGAAGAACTAGTTATTTGAGGAGGCAGCCTTGATGTTTCCAACTTGCATTCCAGGGCTGTTCAAACTGAAACCATGTTTTGGTTCCTGAAACAAGGTGAATTTCCAAGTCCATTATTTGGAAACAAAGACAGGCTCAGATGAGCGCATCATATGTGGAGTGGTGGCCTTTGTTGGGGTCCGTCGGCCAACAAGTGACGTTTGAGCGTCTATAGACAGCTAAGCCAGAATCAATCCCTGTGGGCACCATTACTGTAGCAGGAAACACTGCACATCCCAATGCATCGGATATGGCTTTCATTGCCAGTACAGCAATGAACGCTACATGGCCTTTGGCCTTTGGCGTTTTGGATGCCTTTCCCTTCTCCCGTCTCAAAAGTCAATGCCAGTCACTTTCAGGTTCCTGGTGAAAGTGACGAGAGTCAGTTCCAATCTCAGGGAAGAATCGGAGTGAAATTAGAGATGAATGAAGTGTCAGCACCACGCAGGCAGCTGTGGATTTTGAGGAACTATCGCTATAGCCTTTGCAAATTGAACACCTGGGGAAATCAAAACCGCAGATGGAGATGTCGTGGGGAGCAGGTTGCCGGAGGTTCTGGATTTCCTTTGCAGCGCAACAAAACTCGCTGCCGAAATTTATTCCCAAGTGGAAAGCTCTCTGGGCGTAAATGACACCCCACAATGTTCTTGGGTTGAGCCATGATCCACCACAACCATTTTGTCCATGCGCCACAACTATTTTGTCCGTAACGTTGCATTCTTTTGGCGATGTTTGTGGGGAAGCCTTTTGCTGGAGACTTTACAACCAACGCGCTGAGCAGAGTGCAGCCTGTGCCACTGAAAGACGCGCTGAACACCCAGGCACCATCACCCTTTTTGAAACTTGGGGATTTCAGCGACGCCAGAAGCATTGGTTTAATTTCCCGATGCACCCCAAGAAGCCAAGCAACCAGCTGCGGATTTTGAAGAACCTTTTCGAAAGCGCTCCGAAAGCGCTTTCCGATGCGGAGATGGTAAATGGCAGTGACTTCTAGATTTTTGCAAATCAGCAGCCAGCTCACATTGCAAGGGCCCGGTAGCATAGTCGTTAATTATAGCCTTTACACAATCTGAACACCTGGAAATCGAGACCAAACAAGTACGTATCCTGGGGAATATCTGCAACAAGAGTTCAGGTTTCCCTTTGAAATGAGAGACAACACAAGATTGGATTGTCCTGTCAAACGTTCTTAACCTTTGCCTCCCTGTAGCGTTGTTCGGGGAGAAGCCTTTTGCTGGAAACTTTACACCAACGCCCAGCACACATAGCATGCCCCAGGTATCACATGGTATCCCGGGTGGCCTAGTCGAAGGCGCCGCAGCTTTGAATCTTGAGGATTATAATCTATAAGGGCGCAGCGAGCAGCTCAATTCTTGGATACATCGAGTATGAAACCCAACTGTTTCAAAACCCGGACTATAGAGACGGCAGTCAGATCATTTGGCCACGCCTGGCCCAAAGCCATCACCCTTTTTGAAACTTGAGGATTTCAAGGACGCTAGAAGCATTGGTTTAATTTTCCGATGCATTCCAAGAAGCCAAGCAACCAGCTGCGGATTTTGAAGAACAATTTCGAAAGCGCTCCGAAAGCGCTTTCCGATGCGGAGATGGTAAATGGCAGTGACTTCTAGATTTTTGCACATCAGCAGCCAGCTCACATTGGAAGGGCCCGGTAGCATAGTCGTTAATTACAGCCTTGACAAACTGAACACCTGGAAATCGAGACCAAACAAGTACGTATCCTGGGGAATATCTGCAACAAGAGTTCAGGTTTCCCTTTGAAATGAGAGACAGCACAAGATTGGATTGTCCTGGCAAACGTTCTTAACCTTTGCCTCCCTGTAGCGTTGTTCAGGGAGAAGCCTTTTGCTGGAAACTTTACACCAACGCCCAGCACACATAGCATGCCCCAGGTATCACATGGTATCCCGGGTGGCCTAGTCGAAGGCGCCGCAGCTTTGAATCTTGAGTATTATGTATAAGGGCAGCGAGCAGCTCAATTCTTGGATACATCGAGTATGAAACCCAGCTGTTTCAAAACCCGGACTATAGAGACGGCATGAGACGGCCAAAGAATGCCAGTCAGATCATTTGGCCATACCTGACCCAAAGCCATCACCCTTTTTGAAACTTGAGGATTTCCAGGACGCTAGAAGCATTGGTTTAATTTTCCGATGCATTCCAAGAAGCCAAGCAACCAGCTGCGGATTTTGAAGAACCTTTTCGAAAGCGCTCCGAAAGCGCTTTCCGATGTGGAGATGGTAAATGGCAGTGACTTCTAGATTTTTGCAAATCAGCAGCCAGCTCACATTGCAAGGGCCCGGTAGCATAGTCGTTAATTATAGCCTTTACACAATCTGAACACCTGGAAATCGAGACCAAACAAGTACGTATCCTGGGGAATATCTGCAACAAGAGTTCAGGTTTCCCTTTGAAATGAGAGACAACACAAGATTGGATTGTCCTGTCAAACGTTCTTAACCTTTGCCTCCCTGTAGCGTTGTTCGGGGAGAAGCCTTTTGCTGGAAACTTTACACCAACGCCCAGCACACATAGCATGCCCCAGGTATCACATGGTATCCCGGGTGGCCTAGTCGAAGGCGCCGCAGCTTTGAATCTTGAGGATTATAATCTATAAGGGCACAGCGAGCAACTCAATTCTTGGATACATCGAGCATGAAACCCAACTGTTTCAAAACCCGGACTATAGAGACGGCATGAGACGGCCAAAGAATGCCAGTCAGATCATTTGGCCATGGCGGCCATACCTGGCCCAAAGGCATCCCAGTGAGTCCATCCATTGTGTTTTCTCAGTGGGAGAAACTGGGATTTCAGGGGTGCCACTTAAGCAGCATTATTTCAAACAGCGACAGCATGAAACCCAACTGTTTCAAGAATTTCAAGATAATTGTAGAGA